CTTATGAGCAAAGCCGCTGCTCCGCACTGACTGTAACGCAGTCAGTTCTTCTTTTACTGTTATGCTGTTTTGTGGATCACAAGGTTTAAAACTACTTATCAACACGCACACACAAATTAACTCCACCAGAGTGCCAATCTCAGGTCACTTTTGCCAGTCCAGGCCCGGATAAAGGAGCAGGGTTCGAATTGTGACATTAAAATATAATAATTGTGATAAATTAAAGAAATTTAATTTGTAGTTCTAAATAAATTCTAAATTTGTTTTTTACTCACTCTATGTCTCTCCCACGATGTTATTTCTCTCTCCAACAACGCAGGTTACAATTACATTAGCATGACCAATTATGCAAATTAGATGATGATGTCATTTAGCGACTTCTAGCGACTTTTAGGACAGCCAATAGCGATTTTCCTTACTGAGGAGTTGGCAACACTGGCTCTGAGAGCCGTTTCGTTCGCGACCCACACATCACTAATAGAGAGAGGTAAGTAGCTTGAATAAATTGATATTGAATTATTAAATCCTGAATCGACTTTTAAATATAAATGTATTTTGCCAGAAATGCCAGAATCTCAGGTTAAAGCTCAAAAAACTATTTCAACATCACCAAACAGTAAATGAGAGGAGGTAAACAGATGCTATACAAAGACGTAAACGCAGATAATCAGCTATCTCTTTCTTGGCTTTCTCACCCGACGTAGATGGACACGTTTACGTCTTTTTTGCGATAGATTCTGAACTGAAGGTTTTGTCTGTCTCCAACCAAAATTCACTGAACCAGCAGCAAAAGAAGCAGCAAACTACACTTCACATTTGATAAATGTTGTCATGAATTTCCTCTTACTTTTGCTGTTTTTTCTTTCACCACGATAAAAATCACACTTCATGCACAGCTCTCTCTCTCTCTCTCTCTCTCTCTGTGTGTGTACTTCAAGAACAGTTTCCCATCTCAAATATCTGTTTTCGGCATTATTTATTCGCTTATTACCCCCCAGTCTGCCGTTGTTTGCAGCGCTGTCAGCTGCAAACTTTTTAAAATTATGCAAAATTGCAGAATATTTTTAAGGTTATCTGCTATAAAAACTCTAGGCCAGGTAAATCTTCGTGTTTTTCTGTGTTTTATTCTCAGTTACTTTGACACAAAGGCATCTGCTGTGATGCTCACAATTCTGATGAAGTCTCACTGTCATGACCCTGTGCCTTCTCAGCTGACTCTGTATGGCTACAAGTGTTTTTGTTGTGCTGCGTCTCTCTCTCTCCCCTCCTGCACACTGCGCTCTACCAGGGCGGAGTCATGACGGCTCCAGCCCCTGGCTCGGACACCTGCAAACAATCATCTCATCTCATTCACTTCTTAAGGCGGCTGCTGAGAGTGCTTCTTCACTGGATTATTGTGTAACACTTGTCAGTGTCATTGCAAATCTGAGCTTTTTCCCGAGTTTCTTTCGTGCCGCAACTTACCTGTTCTTCCTTCCTGTGCCAGATTTCTCGCCAGCCTGAGGACCGCCGTTTGGTGAGCT